TCGTAACGTTTTCTAATATTAAATGGTATTGTTCATTTCCTTTAGGTGATAGGCAAACATGTGTTGAAACGTAATGCACAAGAACTGCATGCTCAAGGAGTGAATGATCGTGATATAAATGTTTTGTCATGGGTAAATCATACCAACTTTACGTTTAATGTGCAAAGATTTTACCTTTATTTTTCGTTTTGTTTCTAAGAAAAAAAAAATGTTCTACACCGTAGTACCTAAAAAATGTAAAAGTCGAAGCGATACACTGTCGCAATCGAAATTCCGTGTATAAAATTCGACGCGTCACAACAGATCCGGCGGATAAACTTATGTTCCGTAACGAAAGGGAGAATAGAGATACGTCTGTTGCCGAATATTTTTATAATACATATAAAATTAAACTAGTATTCCCAAATCTACCATGCGTGCTCGTTAATCGGAACGTTTTCTTTCCCATTGAACTCTGTTATGTCCTGCCAAGTAAGTTAACCAAATTTCACGTGAATTACACACACGTTCGACGGTTATTTAATTGAATTTTAATTGACGATAAACGCTAGATCAACGCTTCGAAGGTCGATTGACAGACGTTACGCTCGCCGATATGATCAGACACACATGTGTAAAGCCTCAAGAAAGATTTCGACGAATCTCGAATGCTATATCAGACATTTATCAACACGATAAAGATTCACACCTTGAGTCCATCGGCATGAAAGTTGACTGCAGCAACATGGTGGCCCTTAATGGTTTATATAAATCTTTTTTATTTTTTTGACTAATTTACACGTTTCGATAAATTCTAATGTTCTTTTCAAATTTTAGGACGTGTACTTAATCCTCCTCGTTTAACTTACAATGAAAAAAATCAACAATCAGAATTTACTCCTGAAAATGGACGTTGGAATATTATGAATAAAGTCGTTTGTCAGGTTAGGATTTTTTTTTTTTTTTTCATGAAAAGTATGATTCTGAAGTATAATATAATTTGCTCACTATTATATTCTTAGGGTGCTACTTTAATAAATTGGGCGGTGGTTATTTTTGCTCGAGAGCGTTTTGCTCCGCAACAATTAGTGAGAACTTTCATGAAACGATTTCGTGAAATGGCCAATCAAAAAGGAATGAACATTTCGAGTGATCCTTATGTGATGTATTCTAATCCTCATGGTGACATTGCTACGGCATTGAGCGTTGCATGTCACAAATCACTAATTAACAAGGATTATCCACCACATATCATTATGTGTATTTTGGGAGAATCGGGACCATTATATGGGGAAATTAAAAGGATTGGAGATACACAATTAGGTATTCCAACTCAATGCGTTTTACTCAAATTGTTAGCAAAAACAGGTGGAATGAATCAAATTTGTGCAAACATTACATTAAAAGTGAATGCAAAGTTGGGTGGAAGAAACGTAATGTTATCCAATGATCAGATTAGTTTTGTATCTTCAGAACCGACGATGATATTCGGTGCTGATGTTTTTCATTCTGGTAGAGAGGATCATAGACCAAGTATTGCAGCTGTTTGCGCTACAATGGATTCCAAAGCTACAAAATATTCTGGAAGGTTTAGTGTTAACAAGGATCCTCGAAATGAAATCATCGAAGACCTCAGAGGAATAGTAATTGATTTACTTCGCGTATTTTACATGAAAAACCAAGATTTGCCGAGAAAAATTTTGTTTTATCGGGATGGAGTTGGTGAGAATCAATTTCAAGACGTATTAAACTACGAAGTAAAAGCGCTTAAAGAGGTCTTTGCTAGTATTTACAGGAATTCCGGACCTAAATTAACATTGTAAGTACTTAATAATACCTTATGTAATTTAACGTACTCGAATTGATTACTAATACATATTATAGTATCATAGTTCAAAAAAGACATCATACTAGGTAAATATTTATATAAAAATTAAGACTACTTTATCAGTATACAAATGATTAATTATTCCTTTATGACAGATTTATGCCAACCGAACCACACGATGGAGATAAATTGGGGAATTGTCGTCCGGGGACGGTTGTTGACACAACGATCCTTGTTCAACAAGGGTTCGATTTCTGTAAGCGAAAAAAAATTTTTTTATATTTTAACCTTATTCCATTATTAATGTTATAATCAATTTTTCATTTCAGACTTACAATCTCATTCCAGCATGCAAGGAACATCCCGTCCAATTCGTTATAACGTTCTTTATGATGAAAATAATTTCTCTGCTGACGGAATCCAAACATTAACCTACCGATTATGTTATCTATCCGCTAGGTTGGTGGTCCCACTTTCATTTTCAACGGGATTAGATTCATAATTTCAGACAATGTAAAGTAAAATTTTCTCTCACTTTTTTTTTAAAAAGATGTACGTTTTCAATTTCACTGGTTCCACCAGTTTATTACGCTCATCTGATTGCTAATCGCGCGAAACATTATTATCGTTGGGAAGGAGAGAGAGGATCAGATGACAGCAGAGAAAGCGGAATTAGTATGGGATCAATTGAAGAAGTCAAGAATGGATTGGCCGATGCGATGTTTTTCGTTTAAACTCGGATCAACAATTCCGATAAAAAATTTATGTTGCACAGGTTTTATCTCCAAGTATATATAAAACACACTGTACATGATACACAAAAATAAAAGAAAAAAATTTTTTGAAAAATTTTTTATCATGTGATTTGATTTGTAATCACCTGATCTGCACATGTATAAAAAAAAACCGCTTTCAAAAACACGTCATTTCATCAATGAAAGCATTAGAAGATTTCAAATCTATAATAGATATTTAATTATCAGAAGTATTACAAAATTCAATACAATAAAATATTTTACAGACTTCAAAGAAAATTATGATGTTGCAACAACACATTAATTGTTTTCTTTAGAATTTGAACAATGTATTAGCCTAGGATACTAACCAACAAAGTATATTATATGATGATGAATTATGAAAATTAAAAGTAATCATTTATTATTCTCTACGTAAATTATTCAGCCTTGCCTGCAAGGCCGCGTCATTACTAGACTCCAATTCCTCGATCTGTTCTTTTTGTGATGTTCTCTCAATTGAGCTTGGTGTATCTACCAGCTAAAAATTTTAAAAAGTGAAATGAATAAATATTCGATAAAAACAAAGAGAGATCCTTATAGGTATTATTTACTAAAGAAATGCAACATACCGATTGATCCAAATTAATACCAATTTCATCCAAAACTTGATTCACAATTTCATCGGTTTCCTCTTCATCCTCCTCCTCTGCCATGGTGTCGTCGATAACATCATTCATCATCTCTTCTTTCATATCCATAATCTCGGATTCTTTCTCAAATTCCATCATAATCTTTTGCATCGCTGGCAGGTTCATTTGCCGATTCATAGATTTCATAGCCTATATAGTACATACATACTCATGTAAATAATTGATAAATAATTGATATGATCTTCCTTCAGTTGAACTTACTTTTGTTGCCCCTTTCATAGCTTCGGACATTTGTTGATTTGATCTTAGGGTCTGTTCAATGACAAGATGATGAATGTAACCAATGGAAAGTTTGAGATGATCACGAATTAATTGAAAAAGTAAATTACCTGAATTCGCAATGAAACAGCTTGAAGTTGAGTTTTCATTGCTTGAAACTTTTGAGAGTATCGTCGAGTCCTAACAAGATCTTTGGCCATAATTTTACAAGCTGCCTATCAATAAGTAATCATGTATAATGAAAATGATAAGACGAAAAAAAGATTCTTTTGGTGGAAATTCTGTTTGCATTGTTTGACAAAAGTTTACTATTGACAGCCCATACCATTTGATTTGCTTTGGCTGCCTTTTTTATATCTGCTATCAATTTTTTTTCGGAAACGTCAAGTTTTGACTTTTCACGATCCATTTCGCGTTGTGCTTTCTGAAGAGAACGTTGATGTTGTCGCAGCAATTCAGCCGGGGTTTTTTGACGTCCAAACAACATTTCCTTAAAAAAAAGACGTATTGTTAAGTAAATATGTCGTTTAAGATGTCGATTGTCACATCCTCGAGATATACAATTTAGAAGGACAAAACTTTTTACTATACCATCATTTTGAATAATTGTTAATCTTTTATAAAATCGGAGAAAACTTTATGGTTTTGATTAATAGTATCAAAAGGGAAAGGTTTGCGTCATGCTTTTGCATTTAAAACATCTGGCCAAGATAATCTATCATGTGATATGTGAAAAAGTCTCGTGATTTTACTTTTTTTTTTTTGTATAAATATCGGAAAATTTTTTCGCGTTTTTTTTTTTTTTTAAAAAAAAAAATCATGCCTTCTTGTAAAGGGATACGTCAAGAACTTGTTAATTGTATTCTTAAATCTGACTGCGTTCTAATAAAACGACATACTGTCAAGGGTTGGCCATTTCTTTTTTGAACCTTTCCATTTAAAAATATATCTTTTTTTTTTCTTTCGAAAGAATGGGACCAACTTTCATTTTATTAAATCAAATTTTAATGAGCTTTTTTTTCGGTTTAGAATGCTTACAGCCAGAACATGCTAATGATGTTCCCATAGAATGTCAAAGCATTCGAAAGAGTTTTTTTGAATGTCGAAGAGGTTTGGTAAGTTAACTTTCAATTCTTTCTTATATAATTCTATTTCGTTAGATGATCTTCTAACCTTTATCCGAAACGTAGCTTGATATGCGAACTCGATTTCGTGGCAACAAATCATAAAATAATTTTATCAATACGTTCAAAAAGATTTAATTAGCCAGCTATCTGCTAACCCTACCGACGGGTTAAATATATGGAGGAATTTTTGTTTAGTGGAAATTTAGGTTAAACTTAACGACGCGCTTATTTTATTAGAACACTTCAACAGAAAAAAGACCAAAAAATAATATTATTAAATACTATAATGAACTTAATTAATGCTAACAATTTACGTTTTCTAACTGATAAACATTAAAGAGGAGATATATAAAATATGTGAAAAGAATTTCTATGAATCTGTTAATTTATTTGCACTTTTCTATAACATATCGGCCGATCTTCGAACTATACGTTGGATCTTTTTCTTGAATGTCGGATAATCTTCACGCCATTCTTTCTATAGAAAAGAGGAAAAAAAAAACAGATCAGATATCGTACGATACAAATTATTTGAATTCAGTAAAAAATATCTTACAGCAGCTTCAATGTTTGCGGGAGATTCATCATTAGGAGTTGAAAGCATTGAGATAACACTCAACAAAATAGTTTCAACTGTATGCACTGGCATCCATCTTTCACCCGCGTCCTCGTAGCCATATTTATCTTCGCCAGGGGGATGCTAATGGAAGATTCGAGGTCAATGTTTGAATATATATAAATTAAGAATATAATGTGTAATTCTTACCAAAATTGAAATGCAAACTTCACCGTCAGGATAAACTAAGATAGATGGAATATGTGAGAAAATAGTCAACGCAATTAAATAATCTATTCACGTACCATTAGGATGCCACATATCAGACATGAATTTCAGCTTTGGAGGCATCAATGGATAGTCCTAAATTAAACGATGAAAATTACTAATGCATATGATTATTATAAAATCATTGATATAACTAAAGTGATACTTGCCTTTGGAAACGACATTCTTGCTCTGAAAAATCCACCCTCACTAGATATTAAGAAACATTATAAGATGCTAATTATCGTACGATTCTCGCATCATTAGTTCAACTTACTATAAAGTGTCCTGTGGTCCAATGATCATGATTTCCCACTTTAAAATAATAAAAACGTTCAGAACAAACGTATATACTTTTAAAACTTTAGACCTATTAAAATCTCATACCTTACAGGAAAGGATTTAAAATCAACTCGAGTATTAAAAAAATAAAATAAAAAATAAAATAAAAAAATAAAAGGTCTATCATACCTCATAAATGTTATCATTGTCAACAAGTCCTGCCGAAAACCCTTCTACGGGATGCTTTGACAGTTCTAATTATCAGATATGATGAATAAGCTAGCTTTCACAAGAAAATCCCAAAGGAATTGGTCAAAACAATAATTACCTTTAAGCTGTTTTTGAAGAAGGAGAGTAGACTGTGAGGTGATTGCTGGAGATGCCATAATCGTTCGAAATTGTATAAATTAGCGAAATAATAGAATATAATACGAAGTCCGAGTTCGCGATAGCAATTTATAAAAATAAAATTGGTCTTGTGAGCGGTTTGGGTGTGAATTCAAGGCGACTACTAAATCAGGCTAGCATGCAAATCACAACAAAAATCACCCTTTTTTTCCTTACATAATGAATTAATTTTTGACGGTCTGAATTGATTATGATTTTTCCAGACGAAATTCAATCTTTATTTGTTTAAACATGTCTTACATTAAAACCGTTTTTAATTTAGCCCAATTCAATGAACTAATTGCGTCGCAAAAATTGGTATGTCTTACAATATTTCACTCTAGATTTTCACATTAACTTATACTCAACGTTATTTTACAGACTGTAGTCGATTACCACGCCGTGTGGTGTGAACCATGTCGCGTGATCGCTCCAATCTTTCAACAATTGAGTACGAAATTTAGGCATGTTAATTTTGCAAAAGTAAGATTTGACTTAATTTGAAATATTACGGGTTCCGATCGGAGCTCTATTCTCATTTTCAACCAAATTATTTTTTTTTAGGTCGATGTTGATCAAGCCAGAGAAGTCTCGGAAAAAGAGGGTGTTACTTCAATGTAATTCGGCATTCCTTCTCTGTTAAGTTTCTAACTGGTATTAATTAGCAACTAACACGAATTGTACATATCGTTATTTAGGCCAACTTTTAAATTTTACAAAAATGGAAGCGAAATTGCAAAATTAACAGGTGCTAATCCAGAAGGGCTCAGACTTTTGGTTGAGCAACATGCGGGAACTCCTGAAGAAAGTGGATCAAGTAATTTAATCGTTCAAGGTCATGTAAGTGAGATCAATTTTATTTTATTTTATTTTTGCACTTTAATACGTTTTTTTTTCTTAAATTTGATTTGATTTTAAAGTCAGATATCAATGAATTCATCACACTGAATCAAGTCGATTGTCTTAATCAGGGAGAGAATCATGGCATTAGAAATATCTTTAAAAAAGATAACACATATTTAGAATCCGATGTAGATGAACAACTTTTGATTTCTGTACCTTTCAATCAAGCCGTCAAAATCCATTCTCTAAAGATTGTTGCAAAAGATATTGGTAAATAAGTTTCCCCCTTTTCCCAGGATTTCTAAATTTAAAATTTTAATATTCATCACAATTCATTGCTCTCTTTCTATATCTCTCCCCGAAGAACATGCCCCAAAGACAATCAAGATTTACGCCAACAGATTGAACATTGGATTTGATGAGGTTGATTCAATTAAAGAGACACAAACCCTCGAATTGGACGAAACGCATTATGAAGAAAATGCCATTATTTCTTTAAGATTTGTTAAGTTTCAATGTGTCACAAATATTTCTGTAGGTGTTATTACATGTATATGAATTTTTTTCTTTTTATTCTACAAATAAATATTTGATAATATATTCTACTATTAGTTATTTGTACAAGATAATCTCGGAGACGAAGAAACAACCATCATCAAGGAATTGCATTTCATTGGGTAATTTTTCATTTTTTCCATTTTATTAATGCAGCATGATTCTCATTTTCATGATAATTTTGTAGGTCCCCGGTGGAAACAACCAAGATGGAACATTTAAAAAAAACTGAGCAATAAAAAGATTAAAAAAGATTAAAAAATAAAAATAAAAAAAATTATAGGGATCTATCTTATTTAACAACGTTATACATTGTTTTACAAAAATTGATTATAATAAGTATCAATTATATAATAATGGTTAAAAGTATACGAGTCCTCATTCTGCACAGTAAATTTTAAACGAAACAAAATATATTCTTAATAAATTAGTCTATCTACAATTATTAAGGAAATTCTTTTTGTGAATATGCGAAAGAGTCTATACATATTGTTATTACTCCGATGATTATTTCAAAAGCTAAAATAAAAAAAAAGAGAAAAAAAATTACATTTAAAATTTAATCAAGAATCAAGAATTTGTAAATCATTTTTTTTCCCGGGTTACACTTACCAATTAGAACAATTACAATCCATTCAAGTTGTTCGCCTGTAGTTCAGCAATGAAATATAAACATGAGTGTTAATTAAGATAAAAATAGGAAGATTTTCATATAATAATTCACAAACCGTGAGAACTCGTCAAGTGCTCTTTAAGCATGTCCAAAAGATCACCTATATAAAGTCAAAGTTGTTGAGTATATTTATAAGAACATGATATACATTGAAAAATGAATTCAGCATACTTATTACGGCTACTCTTTGATTTAATAATTCTACGCGTTGCGAAATCTCAAGATAACCTTCAAAGCAAAACTTTGTTAATACATAAACGCACATTAAATGTATAGATAGAGATTAATTCTTACCCCTTATGGCTGTGTACAAAGGTTCGTATGAGGGCTCTGACCAAAATATTTCTGGAGTATCTAAAATGTTACTAACCAAATTTACATTGATTCTCATAATGAACAACTATTTCGAACAAAATATTCATTAAGTAAACAAAAAATTTAACAACACCAATGATTTATCTATAGTATAAAACTTGAATATTACCTGTCCGATTTTCTTGGTAATGGCCGTTCTACAAATTACGCGAAAAAAAAGAACAAAATTATAATAATAAAAATAATTAGATAAATGTATAAATATTACTACCCCCATATTCATTATATATATGATTAATAAAAACCTGGACATTTGAACTTTTCCTGTCTCAGCCATAGTTTGTGGAATATGTTTAGTCGCTTCAATTGTTTCTTCAATCAATCCTTCAAATAAAGTCATTTTTACGGATTGTGCAATAGCATGAGATATTGTAAGTTTGACCATATAATTGCCGGCATTTTTAAGAGTTATCACATCATTATAAATTCTGAGGTGATCTCGTGACATTAATTAAATGGCAATAATACAATCATTAAACAAAATATTATGTTACAACATATTACCTTGGTTGATACGATGCAGCGTAGTGATAATGAAATTCTTCGGTTTCAACATCTTCGGAACCTATCAAATTTAAAATGTTAAAATCGAAAATGATTGTATATTATCCACACAAAAGTACAATATATATATAATTCTCACCCAATTTTTCGTCTTCAAATGGAAAAAGTTCTCGCAATAAATCCTTCTCCTCGTCTTCTTTCATACCCCATATCACTACGACGCCGTATTCAAAGAAGAATACTTCAGAGATATGTTCTTGTAAAAGAGGTGAGAGCAATGAATCATCAAGACCCAAAAGATCAGCAACAGGCGGTTTAGGTGTCTTGAAGGTAAACGGAGTGTAAATACTAAAAATTATGAGACACAAGATCAGAATCCTTTGTCAATTAATATATGTTTCTCTTTTGACCCTACCATTCATCAAAACGTTTAGGCGTTGACCCGTTTGTTGATTTTCGGCTTTGGAGATTCTTGAATAACTCATCTAGCCGATAAGCTCTAAACGTGAAACATTTAAATTTTTAATTACAATTTTAACATAAAAAAACTATCCTCCTATCTGTGTGTATTTAGTAAAATACTTACGAGGCAGTGCAGTAGGCGGTTACTCGAGGAAGTAGAAGCCTCTCTTGTTTACTGAATTTTTCTGCTTCAATTCGAGCAGTACCTTTAGGTAATTGTCCAATTTGATTGTAAGTTTCATTTGTTACAGCAGGAGGAGCAGCTTCTTGTTCTGCAGGGAACAACTTAAGCTTTTGAGAAGTTTTTGTTGTTCTATTCGGCTGCTTTCCTTTCGTACGTTGTCTGCCAGGGATTTGAGGTTCGATTTGAGGACTACTCACTCCCTGAGGAGAGTTTGGTGAAGGAGTAATAGTTGGGAGAGGCGTATATTGTCGTTTTTGCATTTTGATGGAGTTTTTATTATAAAATGTGAAAAATATCATTTAATAACAAAAACCGGTTACACGAACTGAAAAAACCGCAGTCACGCACAGACCATTAAACTACAAACTGGTATTTTTTTTTCGATTAATTTGCGCGTTTAGATCAAGTTTAGAGAATTTAACTTAACTCTTCGTAAAGATCAAAAACTTTTCATATCTGAGATTCCATTTTGTTTATAATTAATTTAGATTGATTATTAAAATGTTCAAAAAAAGAGCAAAAAGAATTCGAACTAAAATTAATGATGAGGAAGAAATCAGCATAGATGCCATACCTGCTGTAAATTCAGAAACAGAAAAGGATCAAAAGAAAAAAGTTAAAGGGAAGACAAAAGTTACCCTTAGTTTTGGAATCAATGAGGCATGTTCATTATTTAAAAGTACAAATTATTTTTTTAAACATTTTTGACAATTTTGACAAGGGTCCAACTCTTATTGTTTAACTATTTGAAGCAAAATTTTTTGATCGTTTCTAGGAAGAACAAGAAGAAGCCTTTCAAATAACAAAAAGTGCAGCGAGTCGTCGACTTACGAAATCAAAATCCAAAAAGCTTCATCTTGATCAGTTTAGTGTCTCTCTTGAAATTTTTTAATTTTCTTAATATTCTTAACTCTAACATAAAAGGATGCTTGTTTATTAGTAAATCAATTCCTCAAAATTCAGATCCAGTCATCACATCTTCCTATACCGAAGAAATTTTATCAGAATTACGTGCCAATACACCAGCAACGCCAGCCTCCTTTCAATCTCAAGATAATATTGGAGAAAAGTTTCCACTGACTCTTGGTATAGAAATATTTAACAATTAAATTAATTAATGGTTCTGTTTTAGGTCATCCCTAATTGTATTCTTTTCAGATCCTAACTTTGATATACCCGATGCTGGAGCTATTAATGCAGCTAAAAAAGAAAGGGAAATGCGACGAAAGAAGGGACTATCTGATACTTTAGAATATATTCCATTATCAGAGGACACGGATGTAATTAATCTTATAAACTATGCTATTATTAATATTATATATATTGAATTGATCATAATATTTGAATAGGTTATAACTTCATCAGGCAAAAAAATGGAGTCAAGATTGGTTCGAGAAGAGGACGAGTTGGGTGAAGCAGATGAAGGTTAGTGTCCATGGTCTATATGTATTATCGTTATAATCATTGTAAGTTATCGTTATAGTGCACGAGTCGATAAATTTGTCCAATGCTAAATTCGCATTGGGAGGATTCAGCCATGGAGTCGTCGTTGACCTATCCAATCAGAATATTGCAAATACTATAACGATATTATCTTGTAGATTATTCAGATATTCGAAAAAAGAATGTAGTTTTAAACTAATTTCTAAGCTTTGTAATGTATATATAGAACTCGAACAATATTTGAACGAAAAATTGGCTATTGGAAAAAAGGCCAAAAGAGAACAGGAACGACTTAAAAAAGTAGACATTGAAGAAATGATCATGGATGTGTATGTATATACTAAAAAATTTTAGGGAGTCAAACCTTTATTATATAGCTAATTATAACATCATTACTTTCATGATAGAAATTTTGAGGAAGAGGATGTTGAATTATTGCAGCGAGAGTTTGAAGCCATGAAAGCAGGTGGACACAATCCTAAGAAATCTTCAAAACGAAAATTCGATAAAACACAACCGATTGTGAGGGCTAGAAGTAAATATTTGTTATTTATGCTTGTCTCATTGTCTAAATTCTCTATATGATTTAATCCATTTATTTTTTTTTTTAGTGCCCATTATTGTTCCTGTACCTACGTTAAATGAGGTTCAATCGAATCTAGAAAGTCAATTGATGGATCTACAAGTTCTGCATAGTAATCATCAAGCTGAACTCATCCAAATACAAAAAGACATCGACAGCCTTACATCCTCGAATACACAAATAGAGGTTGAGATGCAAAATACGAAAAAACGATATAATTATTTTCAAGATCTTAAAACATTTGTCGAGAATCTTGTAGAATTTCTTGATGATAAGGTAATAATAGTTATAATAAGAACATCGAAAATATTGGATTTTTTTTTTTTTTCTTATTTATGATATATTAGTTTCCAACACTAGAGAAACTCGAAAATGATTACCTGGAAGTACTTACTGAAAAGTCACAACTTATTATGCAAAGAATCATCAAAGAAGATTCTGAAGATATCGCATTATTTATCAATATGAATATTAGTAAGTGTATTTTTATTACAATTATTTTAAAGAGAAATTATTATAAATTTGTAAATAACATGAATAATCGTCATCCTAGAAGGTGAACGTAGACGACAGATTCAGTCTGATGAAATTAAGGAAGAAGGATTTTCTACAGATGAAGAATTTTATGATAAAGAAATTGAAAAAGAAATTTATGGAAAAATAGGTTTCAACTTTTCTTGTATATTATTTGCTTAATTACCGTATTAAATAAAATATTCATATTTATTATTTGTTTATTTATAGATGAAATTTCTTATCAACGTACCAGTTTATTTGAAGATGTAATTGAGGATTTTAAATCAATTGCATTTGTCAAGTCTAAATTTGTATCATGGAAAACTGAATTTAATAATGATTATACAAAAGCTTATGGCGGTTTAAGTTTACCGGGTGTATTTGAGTTTTACGTTAGATATGAAATGATGTTATGTAACTTATTAAAGGTATAATTAGATGGAGTATTATTACTTTTTATATCACATTTAATCATATTTAACATACGTTTAAATTTAGATTAACGATATAGATGATATGGAATGGTATAAAGTTATTTCTGAATATTCTGCTGAATCGAGTAAAGATCAAATGGAAACAGATGATGATTTTACAGTCTTGACCAAAGTTCTTGAAAAGATAGTGTTATCTAGGATCGAGCATTTAGTAAAAACTCTGAATCCATATTCCTCACGGCAGACAAAATCTCTTGTTGATTTTTTAAAAAAGACATTAAAATATGTAGATAGAAACTCCAAAAAATTTCAAGTAATTTTTTAATGAAATATTTTCTTTGACTTATTATTTTAAACCAATTCCTTTTTTTTTAATACAATCTATCTACAATTTATCTACATATATATTTAGGATATAATTATTGCGGTATCAAAATGTTTTCAGAATGTAGTTGAGTCTCTTGAAACAATACCTGAAAACATAAATATACAATTTTCAGATCCACATGATTCTATCTTAGTAACACGAAATCGCTATTTTGGTCGCAAATATAAGGTTAGAGAAATGTACCTTCATGACTAAAGTATCATTCATGTTTTCATCAATTATATCAGTCCTTTCTTATTTTATTTAAATAGCTGCTGGAAAACCTTATAATGTGGAAAGAATTCGTTCCTATAGATATAATTCGATCGTTATCCATTGATTATTTACTTAATCGACATTTATTACATATTTTAAAGAATTCATCGTTAAACACAGATAGCGCAAAGTATCAAAAGGTAAGGAGTAACTTTTATAATTTATTATATATAATAATATAATAATATTTATATTTTGGTTTATCGTTAAATTGTTTAGATACTTATAACTATCCCTAGAGATTGGCTTCATCCTTCATCATTAGAAACATTAGCACGTGGAGCTGCAGGGTATTGAACTTGTTTCATTTAACCTTAAAAATTCATTAAGATTTATTTATTCTCTAAAATAAATAAAATAACGAGAAATAAATTGGATATGATAATATCGGAATAGATGAGATTATTTTTTTAAAACCTGTTATGTTCTTTCCAATGTCGATGCAGAGTTGATACCATTGTATGTATTTATTTGGTTATAAAATAGATATAAAATAAAATAAATCAAATTTTTTTTTTTTTTTGTAGCCATTGTGCTAATGGGATGGTAAAATGGATATTTGACATGATAAAAAAAAAATAATTAAATAATTTGATCTTGGTGAAATCTAGAATTTTAATTTTACTGCTACCGGAAAAAACCTTATAAATTAAGTACTAAACTCTTGAATTCGTTTTTGGTTAATTCTTTCATCAATAAAATATTTGTTAATATTAGGGAAAAGATAATGATCTTTCTATCGCTAAACCAGTGTTTGGCCATGGCCGTTTGGCCGTGGTAAAAATGACCAAATTTTATTTTAAGTTTGGCCGGCCAAAAAATTTTTTTTATACAATAGCTCACAAAAGAAACGGAATATAATTGGTTAATTGCAAAAAAAAATTGACGTCCCCGACGTTCAGGACGTTAAAAATTGCAAAAATTGACGCTTCTGACGTTCGGAACGTTCTATTTTGCAAGAATTTTAACGCCTGAACGTCGGAGGCGTCAATTTTTGCAATTTTGCAAAAAATTTGAACATCCCGAACGTCGGAGGCGTCAAATTTTGCTATTTTGCAGGAAATTTTAACGTCCTGAACATTGGAGACCAATTTTTTTTGCAATTTTGCAATAAATTCAATAAATTGCAATTTGCAAATAAACCGCGGCCAAATTTGGCAAAGTCATGTGATATTTGGCCGATTTGGCCGATTGGCGATTTGGCCGCTGATTTTGGCCGATCGGCCAAATCGGCCAAAAAATCAAATGCCAACTATGCGTTAAATGGTTACATTCAAACATTCTCACATTTGTAATAAAACATATGGGAAAGAAATATATCTTTAATTTTTTCTCAAACCTTTATTATGCCAAATAAAGAGACGTTACATTAAATCGTTTTCATATTAAAAATGGGCTACCGGCTTGTGTAATTGAGAAATCTTTCACAAAAAAAAAAATGAAAAAAAATCAGTAAACCGAATAGGCAAACTTAATAAGTATTTTGGCATTGCTATAACCAACCCAAAGTTGATTTGTCTTCGCAAGGAAAAAATAGCAAGAGGGCTATAACCAACCAAAGGTTAATTTTGTCTTTACAAAGGAAAAATAGCAAGAGGCCTTTCAATACAATAAGAGCATTGGTAGTCACGAACGATCACACATATGCATCATCAGTTTTCTAAACAAGTGAAAGCATGTAAAGGTCATGCAATCTAGAAGGAGTACCTCAGCAAAGGGATGGTTTAACATCATTTAGATTGTAGAACGAGGAAATACTTATATTTTATCATAGTCCGCCAGTTCTTATAACACAGATAGGAAGAAAGAGTAGGAGACAACCCGGTTGATTCTTTGTGCAAGTGAAGAAACTATTTTTTTACACAAAATAAGAAAGTGTAAAAAAATCAGTAAATCGAATAGGTAAACTTAATAAGTATTTTAGTATTACTATAACCAACCCAAGGTTAGTTTGTCTTCGCAAAGGAAAAATGGCAAGAGGGCTATAACCAACCAAAGGTTAATTTGTCTTCGCAAGAAGAGGACTTTCAATACAATAAGAGCATTTGGTAGTCACGAACGATCTACACATATATGTCATCAGTTCTCTAAACAAGTAAAAGCATGTAAAGATTATATAATCTAGAAGCAAAGGGACAGTTTAACATTGTCTTTAGATTGTGAAAGGAAAAGCCAATAAAAAAGAATAGATCTTAACATTTAGTGAAAAGAAAATTATTTTTTTCTTAAAGATATTTTTTTTATATGGGAAACTGATACAAAAAATATTTCTATTTTATAGTGATGCTTATTAAACTTTAGGATATTTTGGTCACATTGAATTCTATTTTAGAAAGGTTTTAGTTTATTCACTGAACATTTCCAGTAATAATACCTTTTATTATGAAATAAGGATTAGATGTTGAATCAACTTAATAATATTTATTAGAATAAATTAGTAATTAAATTAAAATTTTCCTTTGTCGTTTAATTCATTTGTCCATAAAAAAAAATTTTTTTAATTGCAAGTCATGTGCCCACTAATTTATCATTAGTCCAAATTATTTATAGAAACAATTAATTATAACAATTCAATAAAAAAAAATTTTTTTTTAAAAAAATTAATTTTAAAATCTTTTTTTTTTTACTTTTAAAAAAATGGCAATGATCGAAGAAATCAAAACTGAATTAAACAAAGCAGAAGTGAGATTGGACGAGGCAACGAAGAATTTGGAAATTTTCATGAAGAAGGAGAATTTAGAGAAGTTTGAGAAAAGGTGGGAAACAGAAGCGATGAAAGAAGAGAAGAAGTTGTTGAAGGCGGAGAAGAAGAGATGGGGAGATGAAGTAGTAGAATAGGGAAGAAGTTATGTAAGTTTGGAGAAGGGAAAGGTAACGAACAAATTATGTAAAAAAAAAAAAAAAATTATTTTTCGTTCTTTTCATTTCGTTTATTTATTTGTTTGTTTGTGACATATATATTACTGTTTTGAAATGTTGACTAACCTATGTTTTTTTTTATTTCTTTGCTCTATCAATGTCCTATTGAAATATATATTTCTTATTGTCCATTATCTTCTATCTATTTTACAAATGCATTTTTTATTCTTATTTTAACAGGAGGAAAACATTTGCTGGATAAAGGTATACAGTCAACTCTTGTTATAACGAACTCTATATCCTAGACCTCAACTTCGCTATAAGGCTATAGTGAAGAGTTTAA